CCCTCTCCCTGCATTAACTGGTTTCTTCTTGAATAAACATCTTCCACCTGCCTGAATCTGGTCTGCATCCTGAGTATTTGTTTCTAGCCAGGGTTTGAGGGGTTGGGGGGGGAAAAGCATGGGAATGAGGAGGGTAAGCTCCTTCACAAAGTCTTTGACAATGTTCTTCATGGCAGATGAAATAATAGGGTAAGATTACATGGGACTTGGGGTGAGGCTGGAAATTGGATACAAAAACTGGCTTGATGGCAGGAGATGGAGACAGCTTGGCAGTTGCTTTCTGGACCGGAGGCCTGTTACGAGTGGTGTTCCACTCCAACTTGTGTTGGGTCCACTTTTGTTTATCTTTTAAATAAATGATTTAGATGAGAATTTAGAAGGCATGGGTCGTAATTTTGAAGAGGTCACCAAAATTAGTGGCATAGTGGACAGTGAAGATGGCTATTGAAGATTACAAACAGATCGTGATCAATTGGGTCAATGGCTTGAGGACGGGCAGATGGAGGTACTGAGGCATTGCATTTTTGAAAAACAGAGCAGCAGGTCTTGTACAGATACAAGTAGGGCCTTGGATGGTGTTGGAGAACAGAGAGAACTAATGGGTCAAGTATACAGTTCTTTGAAGTTTGCATCAGCTGTAGACCACGTGGCACCTGGCTTCATTACTCACTCCTTTTGAATACAGGACATTTTTGAGACTTTTACTGAAGCACTATATCAGGTTCTGGTCACCCTGTTAAAGAAGGATATTATTGCACTGGAGGAGCTTCAGAAAAGATTTACCAGGATGTTGAGATAACACAATGTGGAGCTCGAGGAACACAACAGGCCAGGCAGCAGAGAAGCAGGAAAGTTGACTTTTTCAGAAAAAGGGTCCTGACCCGAAAAGTCAACTTTTCTGCTGCCTGGCCTCCTGTTATCTCGTACTTACTACTTGATGCATTGCGTCATTTTAGCTCTTCTCAAATGCAGTTACAGGAAATATGAAACTCGTTGTGAGCGAGGGACTGAGATGCATTTATATGACGATGATTAAAGTCACAGGCAGTTACAGAGCAATAACAAATAATGCAATCCGAACGCTATTACAATTGCAATTCATTATAAATTCGTGATAAACGTTTCACTCTCCATGCGTTTCAGCTGTTCCGTGAACGTGACTGACTGCAGCTTGTTGGTAAAGATTTCATGTTAGATCATACACACAGTGACAGTAAGAGTATCAAATAGCAAAGGGAATTAAACGGACATCAAACAACGAATGCAGAAAAAGACATTCCGACAGAGGGGATGGTCTAGCTGTTTTTCACTGATGTCGTGGGTGGCTCTTAAAAGAGCCTTTGGGTTGTCAGATGAAATAACGGTCTCTTCACTTTTTAGTGGCGCCCCCAGCGGCGGTTTTCTTGGGCAGCAGCGCGGCCTGGATATTAAGCAGTACCCCACCCTGAGCGATGGTCACCCCTCCCAGCAACTTGTTGAGCTCCTCGTCGTTGTGCACGGGCAGCTGGAGGTGGCTAGGGATGATGCGGGTCTTCTTGTTGTCCCGGGCCGCATTACCGGCGAGCTCGAGGATTTCAGCCGTCAGATACTCGAGTACCACAGCCAGATAGACCGGCGCTCCGGCACCCACACGCTCAGCATAGTTACCCTTTTTCAGGAGCCTGTGAACACGGCCCACGGGAACTGCCGGGACTTCATCTTGGAGCGCTCTTTCTACTCCCAGACATTACCAATATTTTACAAACACTTTCACAGAGAATGATGCAATATGCCCACATTCCGCCCTCTTGTACCTTCGGGAGGAATGGTGGTGCGGTCATTGCTGATTGGCCACATTGTTTAGCTTCTCTTAATGTCGTTTCAATTCCCAATCAGATATCTGCTTCACTCACCAATCCGGTGAGGGCCCGGGGAGGAGGCCGGAAAATACCGGCGCCAAATCATCAACCGCTTTCTTTCTGATTTGAAAAGCCCGCCAATATGTACCAAAAAGTAGGAAGGTGAACACAATAGAATGGAATACTCGAGATAATTTACTTTCAGATTCTGAATGTATACTTTACATAATCTCCCTTTCCCTCACCTCCTTGAATATGTCAATTTCTGACCTGGAATCGGATTTTCTGAACATTAAATGCAAGCGGAAATAAAAAAGCGCCAAAATCTGCACTCTGCAACTAATTTATTTCGCATTTCAAAAACACCCGATAAGTCGATAAAACATTCGATACCGTTTTTCCAGGTGAGCGCCTTAATTGCGGACACCGTTTTTCGAGAATATTTAAAAGCGGCCCTCCCTTATTGCACTCGATCAGACTTCAGCAAAAGCTCCACATTTACTATGTCAATCCGGCAGCTGTTCTGGTTTTATCTCGGCTCATTTTCAAAGTATCTCCCCAACAGCAAAAAGCCTCAGCAACCTGACAAAACCCGCGAGGAGATCTGGAAATAAAACAAAAGGGTGAAACGGAACTCGGAGGAAAAGTGTATTTTCTTGCTTGCCCTGTTGCATACCCCACCGGGTCTTGTAGCTTCTGAATCGATTGAGTGAGAGGGTAACACGATCACACAGAAATTGCGCAAAATAGCTCATTGGTGTTCAACATGATCCCTGTCCACAGGCAGCGATTACAGATGTGTGTCAACACGTCCGAGAACAAGCGCGCACAGGGTCAGGGATCACGTTAATTTACAGAAGATTTATAAAATACAAATGTTGTGCAGACATTAACGTAATAGTTCAGCTGTTTCAGGGAAGCTGTGGGTGGCTCTTAAAAGAGCCGTTGGGTTTTGGTTGTGTTTTTTTTCAGCACAACGTGGTGTCTCACTTGGAGCTGGTGTACTTGGTCACCGCCTTTGTACCCTCCGACACGGCGTGCTTAGCCAACTCCCCGGGCAGCAGCAGCCGCACGGCGGTCTGGATCTCCCGGGAACTGATGGTGCTGCGCTTGTTGTAATGGGCCAAGCGGGAAGCCTCCCCCGCGATGCGCTCGAAAATATCGTTGACGAATGAGTTCATGATGCTCATGGCCTTGGAGGAGATGCCGGTGTCGGGGTGAACCTGCTTCATCACTTTGTAGATGTAGATAGAGTAACTTTCTTTCCTGGACCTTCTCCTCTTCTTGCCGCTTTTCGCTGGCGCCCTTTTCACCACTTTCTTAGCGCCCTTCTTGGCAACTTGTCCTTTCTTTTCCTCTACCATTGCGACAGTCAATATCCAACACAGAATAACAGAAAGTGGGCTCAGAACTCACTTTTTATAGCCTGACGGCGTCAGCAATGCTAATGAAGGATGGGAGAAAGCCTTGTTCCTGAATGGGTAGTTTACAAGAATGTTAAAACATGACATTAGCCTTTCTGTGATTGGTTAGTGTGGGACACAACGTGGATCTGCAATGAAATTTCAAACGCAAATCGAAATTTTGTACACGGATCAAACTCCGAGCTTTCTCTAAATCGTCAGATCCTAATCGCGATTTAATCTACATCTTTTGATAATGGTTTTCTTTTCTCCTCCGTCTAAAAATGTCATCACGTTCGTTGTCAAGTGACAAAATGCACTGAAATCTGACAGTGGTGCGTTTCACTCCTGGAAATGATGGAACTACTGACAATTGCATCGTGCTTGATGAACATGGGAGTTAGGGAATGTTCTCTCTTGCTCGTGTTTCTTGTACTACACTCTCTGAAGTTTAAGGGCATTATATCAGCATCTGCTCCGTCAACACCCTTCAGTTTTCGTTTCCTCGAAAGGTTTGACGTCCTTCTTCAAATCTCCAATGAGTATAGGCCCAAACTATTCATACTTTCCTCAGAATACCTGCCAGCGTGTGTCGGTATCAGTTTTACTCGGATTACCTCGATGACAAAAGAGAACTGATGTCCTGTGACCCGTGCCTTTCGCTTTCTGCTGATTACACAAATTTTACTCTCTATCCCTTAGGCTCTTCAATCAGTGTCAGCAGCTTTCTGCCTACATTTCACTTCCTGGAATCTTGCTTTGCACTTAATTAGTGTGGATGTTATTTTGTGCATTTCAGTTTCTAGCAATAATTGTTTTTCATGGATTTTTTCTGAACTTTATTTGTCAACACGTCAGTTGTATTCACACTGATTATTGTCATTTAAGAATATTTTGAACACAGTACCTTTTGCAAATTTTAATGGTGACAATCTCTTGTGTGTAGATTTTTTTTT